GAGCCTGCCTCCACCCTGCCCGGGAGGAGGGAGAGGAAGGGCTTGAGCCTTCAGCCCCGCGGCGAGGAGGGAGAGGAAGGGCTTGAGCCTTCAGCCCCGTGTCAGAGGGGAAGGAGCCCTCCTCAGCAGCCCCGCTGCAGAGCCCAGCCCTGTTGCTCTGGGTGGCCATTCCAATCGCATCTTTCTGCCCCGAGACTCCGGTACTGGTTGGGGTAATGATTCAGTGAATTACGCCAGACTCTCCGGCGGCTGCAGGAAGAGCTGGCTGAGCACCTCCTGTTCTTCCCCCTCCAGCAGCCCAGAAGCCGCATCTCTCCCTCCTCAATATATTTTCATTAAAAAAGAGGAATTTTAGCAATGGATGAGGCAGAGCAGATTGGAGCCAGCACTAATGAAAGCAGCTTTATTGGGTGTGCAAATAGGTGTCAGGAGTAAAACATTTACTCTAAGAACACAAAGAGGACTTAAAAAACAGTGTGCTTTTGTTTTTGGAGCAAAAAACAACTACAGCTTTCACAGTCCCAGCTGTGCTTTTATAGAGATGCTTAGGAGGAGCAGTTTGAGCTTTCTCGGGCTGGTCTCGTGCTGTTGAGACTGCTTTACTGCCAGCTCTGGCTGCAGCGCCAACAGCTTTACACTATGCTGGGCAGGTGATAGAGATTTGCAGCTTCTCGGAAGCAAGAACTGAAGATGAATACGGTATTAGGCAGGGGGGGACAGCTTCGTAGCCAACTGGCAGAGAGTAAGCAAAGCTGCCAGTCCAGAGAGCAGCAGCTGCAGCAGAGCAGGGAGTCAGTTCTCCGAGCAGGTGATTTCCCTCGACAGCGGATTTGGGGAAGCTGGTAAGTGTAATTCCCTTTTTCCTATGCCTTGTCATTAGGGGTACTGATGGGCAAAGAAAAATCTCATCCTCGGAGCGCTCAAGGACTTCATCTTATTTGCGTAACGGTGACAGGCATTTCTTCGCTTTCTGCAAACAGCCCCAGCACAGCGGCGTCTGGCAGCAGCACCAAGCACCCGGCCCCGCAGTGCCCACCCTCTG